GGAGGAGGGGGGCGGGGGGGGCGGTGCAAAGCGCCGAAAGGGGGGACGTGCACGGAGGCAGGCCCCGCCCACCCTTTATCAGTTGAAGGGGATGTCCCGGGCGGAGATTAGCGACAGGTGCACTGTAAGACAACTTATCGTGCTCGTAAAGGACGCCGGGATTAAGAAGGGCACAATGAACTCAAGAGAAGATGATCTCCTCGATTACCTGGCGGCGTATGTGGGTGGCCTCGGGCAGGAATCTGTTGAAGGGACAGGCCCCATGCCGACGCCAGAAGCACCTGCGCAGGACGGAAGGGACGACGACGGTTACCTTTCCCGACCGGTTACAATGGATTTCTCGCTGTCGGTTTAAGAGGGGGCTGGAGTGTCTAGCGGGGGTGGCTCTTGAACATTTTCCGAGGCAGAAGGTGAAAGTTGGTCTGTCCATGGCGTCGGCTTTCGTTTCGTCATGTTGTACCGTTCATGGATCATGACTACCATCTTATTTGTGCGCATGTCGAAGTTGGCGCGGACTATTCTTCTAGCCACTAGGAGCGCCGGCGTGTTGCGCACCTATGCCGCGTATTAGCCCCTCTCGGGGTACAAGTCTTGCGTATGGGTGTGAGCACTGGTCGTTCCCCCTAGCCGGAGCCGTGTCAGTCAGCGGGGATTCTCTTCGTTGCCGCATTCAGCCGAGAGCGTTGCAGTGGCAAGGTGGGGTTGAACTGCGTCCATTTATTACTTGGTGTAAATTGACAAGGAGACCATTCAGTAACCATAATGAATGTCTTCAACACCGGTAAACCAATTTGATCTGAAGTAGCTACCTTCCTACCGCCCGGGGCATATCATCCTCAAGGCTGTGTTGGTGAAGAATCCGAAGTCGGTCCGATACGTGTACACCCGAAACAATCGACAGGACGACTGACAAAAATAGAGAGGATAAAGGGGGGACAAGGAACAGAGGGGCTTCGTCCGTGAGCATCAAACACCCGGTGATTTAGGCGGAGGAAGATATGACGAACCTCCAATGAAAAAAAAGACAAGAGAGAAAGCCTCCGACACGAAACCAGAATGATAGAAAACTCGACTACGGGAGCAATACGCCTGCTGGTTTTGCGTGACAGGGAAGTCAAACTCACACGTGCTTCGAACATTGTTGGGGCGAGTCTCCCACCCCGATAAAATACAACAAAATCAGGACCCGGCTCCACTCGACAAGGAGGGCACCAGACTCGCTCCTCCCTACAGTCCTATCTGTTGTATGTGCGTGGGTAAGTCCAGTGCTTCCGCAAAGCTATATCACATGCTATACGACATGGGACGCTGGGATTACTCCTGTTGCTGATTAGCGGAGGGAAAATCGAAATACCTGCAGTCTTCTAGCTCCCTCTCGCTTCATCTCTCTCCTACGTCTACTTGACCTAAAACAGCCAACGCTACCTTATTCCCTTCTAAACCTCTCGAGGGTTACTGGTATGGGTTGAAGACTACGGGTGTCTGGCCCGCAGGGGCTGCTGTCGATTCCTGGGATGCACTACCCCCTACCGCAGGGTCCGCATGGGGTTTGTCAATGCTGATGTACCGCGGGAACCTCACAGCTGAGACAGGGTTCCTCGAGGGCGCCCGCAGAGTAGCAGACCGCTCGGCGTCGGTCACTAGGAGCATGATCCGTCCCCGAATCCCGGACGCGATGAAGTCCTCCCCTTTCCGCGCATTCTGATTGTGGTTCGCGCGGGAAACCCCGTGCAAACTGCGCCGCAGGTCCCTCGTGCTGCCCTTTCCGGTGTTCCACGATTTCCTGTGGGGGGGGGGGGCGTACTCTTATGTTTTGCATGTCTTAGCGGTTAGACCATTGACCACGCGTCCTCGAG